CCTTCATCCAATCTGGGGTTGGGCTGATTTAGGACTGGGTTTAAGGCCTTGTGGGGGCTGCTTTACTTCTAGTTCTTGCTTATTCCTAGTGTGTAGCCCTTCAGGGTAAATCATAGCATTGCCTTCTTGGAGGCCTTGAATTCTAATTTTCGTCTTCATAGCACTCTGATTCTGTTGGTAATTCTGCTAAGCTTCTCAGCCTCTTAGCTTCTCTCATCTTTGCATTTCGGCTTCTCAGCTTCTCCTTGCAAAACAGTAAATGCCATGAGTTGAAAAGCATCTTAGACTCTTGGACTCACTTCTCAGTACTTTCCATCTCTCTGGAATCTTGGCTGCTCAAGTCCTGGGCTGCCCTGGTAGCTCACCAATGCCTTTAAATAGTTGATTTTTTGGTAACTTATCCAGCTTTACTATTGTTATTGGTGGGAGGGTTAGACTGATATTAGGTAGACCAGCAGACCCCTGGGGATGTGGTCTAGGGACTCCTGGGAAACCCCAAGGTCTGGAGGTCAAATGTGTTGATGTTTGTACTGATGTAGCAAAAGCAATGTGGGTAAAGATGCTGGAGCTTAGTGCAAATCAAGGTAGTGGCACAAAACTGTACTAGTAGTCATTGTAATCTTCACTGTCATGAATTTGTAATTAGAATGAATGCTAGAGGGGCGCCTGGGTGTCTCAGTTGGTTAAGCATCTGACTTTGGCTCCGGTCATGATCTCAGGGTCCTAGGATAGAGTCCCACGTTGAGCTCTGTGCTCAGCAGGGAGTGTGTTTCTCCCTCTCCCTCTGCCCCTCCCCTCACTGGTTCCCTCTCTCTCAAACAAATCAATAAAATCTTTAAAAAAAATGAGTGCTATTTTCCATTGAAAATGTTCTTGATGAAATGGTAGAAATTATTAATCTTACTAAATCTTGATTCTTGAGTACACCTTTTTTAATGTTTTCTGTGCTGAAATCCTAAGTATGCACAAAGCACTTCTGGGGCATTCTGAAATACAGTGGTTGTGTCATGGAAAAACACTTATGTGATTGAGTGGTATGCTGAACTAGTTTTTTTTCCCCCCCTTACTTTCATGGAATAACATCTTTACTTAAAAGAATGACTGACAGACAAACTATAGTTCTCAGAATGAATCAAGTAAGCCTGTCTCTTCAAGAGAAATACTGGTAGTGTTCATTGCCAATGATAAAATTGGCAGTGGATCAAGTGAAAATTCATTTTTGGAAAACTTGTATCCAGTCCTGTGAGCTTGACAGCTTCCCAATATTTAATGACTTTTCTGATAAAATTGGTGATGTTAACTAATGTGATCTTTATACTGTATAATGAAATGTATCAACATTTGGAAGAGCTACATAAAACAGTGAACCAGTATTTTTCAAATGACCAATTTATGATGTTACAAAATTATGCATAGGAGAAAGATCCATTCTATGTGTAAGATAGACCAATGAATTTTAATGTAACAGTATGAAAAATTCACTGAAATGGCTTCAGGTTGCACATTGAAACTATTTTTAAAAACTTTATCATTTGTCAAGATCTGGTATAGCATCAAGAAAAATATCCACAATTATATAAAAAGACTATTAAAGTACTCCTCTCTTTTCCAACTGCATTTCTGTGTGAGACTAGATTTTCTTCATATACTTCAACTGAAACAGCATATTCCAAAATTGAATGCAGAAGCAAATATAAAACCTAGCTTTTTTTCTCCTAAGGAAGACATTTACAAAAATTTTAAAATGTAAAACAGTATTTCTTCCCCACTATTTTCTGTTTTTGGAAAAGAGATTTTTCATAAAAATATTTATTTTAATATATAATGGTATTATTGTCAATGATTCAATAACTAAATGTTTGCAAATTTGTCAGTTTTAATTTCTAATATGATGAATATTGATTGATATAACCCAGATAAACAGAAGCTCTTTGGGGTCTTCAAAAATTTTTACGAACAAGAACCAGTGAGATGGACTATCATAGCAGAAAACTATGGGCTGAAGAGGCCTTATTACTAAAGCAGTTCTTATCTATATTCTTTTTGGTCTTGGGGAGGGCCCAAAATTTCAGGAAATTTTGGCCATTTCAACATGGCAACAAAGGAACAGATTGGTTAATTTTTTATAAATATGCCAGGCAGATTAAATATTGCTCTCTAAATTATGAGATGTCAGGTAGATTGCTTACTTTTTAATGTTATATTAGATTATCTGATTATAGCTTTTGACTTGTGATTATTGACTTAATATGGAAAGACAAATGGCATAAACACATAGTTTGTAAATATTGAAATTCTTACCATGTAGTTGAGAAAGAAGAGATTGGAATGTTTTCAACCAGTCTTGCCATCCAACATGAAGATTCACTTTTGAGAGATGCCTTGACTCTGCAGTGCACATCAGCCAAGATAGTGGTATTTAGTTAAGATGAAAACAAGGCCTTTGGTTATTTCAGAAACAACAATTAATAAGATCAGATTAAGTTTCATAAAGCATTTCAGTTTTGGAGAATTTTACAGAGAACTTCAGAAATTCCATCCCCCCCCATCAATGAATACAATCATTTTTCTCTCTGAGAGAATGTGAGTATATAAATAACCTACATATGATTTTAAAATGGCTGAAAGATAAGGTAGCCTTCTTCATAAAATATACCTTACCAGACTATTCCTGTTCATATTAGTTTCACTCTTTTATAAATCTGTCCTCTTTAGGGCTAAAGCTGTTCAGTTTTATTCTTGATTATTCTTGGGTTGATTTTATGTGTGAAAATCTTACCCCTGGAACAGACTTTAGTGTTTGAGAGTAAGGACTATATATAGTTTACTTCATCCACAATATCCTGTTGGTTAGGTAGACTCTTGATACTTGCTGTGGAGTTTAAAAGGTGAGATGCGGGGAAATCATTTCCCGTCTCAAATATTGAGAATTTGCTATGTGTCAGGTGCTGTGTTAGGCATCAGTGAATATGCATTTGTGCATTTTGCTTTTACACTGAAGAAACATATGACAAGAATGTAAGGTGTGGAGGAAACTGAATCTTATTGTTTTGAGGGAATTGTTTCCATGGCAGTAAAATCTTTATGAAAGAAACAGTTTTTGTTGAAAATCCTACCTTCTCTGCAAACACGTCAGGGAGCCAAAGAGTTTCAGCATAGGAATAAGAGAATTGTCCTCCTCGCTGCATAATATTGTCAATCAGATTTTCAATAGCTCTGAAAGCAAAATTGATTTTGATTCACATTTGAACTAATGTTGGAGCTGGCAGCCAGTGGTCTCATAGGTACGGGCTTTCCCATGAAGAGGTGTGAGCTTTTCTCTTCTTGCTTTTGTTGTTGGCAGGCCCCTGACCAGGCTTGTATCAGTCCCAGGCAGTTACACCAGGGAGCTCAATGAGGGAGGTGGATTTGAGCTCATGAGTAGATATATTAGAAAGCCAATCTTTCCATCAACCTTATTGAGTTTAAAAAAAAAAATTACTTCTCTGGGTATAAAATGTTTAAGCGTACTTAATACTGACTAACCATGCTAATGTGCGATAGTAGTGACATTTCTTGGCTCTGAGTTTGGTTGTATAATCTCATAAACTTCAATAAGTTACGTAATGAAATTGCTTGTTTAAAAGAAGTTCATGATGTGACGTCGTGGGCAGAGTATGGGCTCTGCTGACAGACTTCCCAGTTCTGACACTTTCTAGCTGTGGCCCCTTGAATGAGCTTACTCTCCTTGCTTAGAGCTCCTTGCCTGTGAAACAGGACGTAATAGCACTGTTGGGAGGTTGAGCTGAATTGATGCCTATAAAATGTCAGCTCATATAAGTGTTGACTATTGTTTTTATTTCTGCTAATTAAGTCATATCTTAAGGTTCCAATAATTAATCATAGTAGAAGTATCTATTCTTCACGATACCCCTACCCACACACAGGTTCAGTTTCTAGGCTGACTATGTTCTGTGGCTGGAGTCCTAAGAATTTTGTAATTAACGTGGTTTGTGATGGTGTTATCTGTAGTGGTGAGAGACATATTTCAAGTAAGTTTCAGTTTTTGAATATCAATACCTGCTTAATTATCTCCCTATATACATGCTGCTATTGGCAACAGCCAAGGCGGGCCTGTTGTTAATTAATTACTTCCACTGAGAACTTAATTAGTGTCTTCATTAGGATCATCATTGAGGAGCAAGCAGCATCATCCTGAGCCAGCTGCAAGTTACTGGCTAGCTCCAGCCACCCTTCTGGTCCTATGAAAGCTTGGATTGACGAGGAAGCCTGTTGTGCTTCTATTTGTTTTTATTTTTTGTCCCCCTTAAAGAAAGCTGTGGAAGATCTGACGGTGATGTCCCCGTGTTCTGTCACACATGCAAAAATAAGGCAACAGATCCCATTTACAATAGACAGATCAGAAAACCCAGATTGGTTATTGAATTCTTGTCATGGTGCTAAACAAGCTGGAAACAAGTTGTTGTTTGCAGCGTCAAACATCAGACCATGAATTCTGCATATGACAGAGTGCTTCATTTTTCCGCTGAAAGTTAAAGTTCTTTCCTTCTGGCATCACTGTTTTTTAATATATATATATTTTGAAATATTGCCATAGTGTTTCAGGATGAATTCAGCACTTCATTTCCTTTCTCTCCATCCCTCCGGAAAATATGGGAAAATGAGGCAAAGGTAGCATCTTGCCTTATTTTCCTACAGAGGTAGAAATTGGGCTGGGGGTGAGAGGCATGATCAAGTCAGTCCCTAAATGATCCTTCTCCCAGACCTTTTGGATGGAATGTGACCTTGAGACAATAAGATAAAGATAAATGCACCACTGACTTCTATTTTACGGAAAAGGGAATCCCTTGGATAAATCCCCAAATGAGGACAGGCATTGTCGAACGAACCTACTTTCCTTGAGCATTTTTACTTCACTTCGACTATTGTAGGCTTTTAGGTGATTTAGGTCAATTGTGAACTTGGTGAAAGGATCGAATGAAATATTTTGTACCCAACAGATTCGCTGCTGCTTCCAGGAGAAGTGGAGGAGGACCTCTGCACGCGTGTCCCTTCCTACATTCCTTCTGTGGCCCAGCCCTTCGCCCCTGGGTTCAAGCCGGGGCCCGCTGTGGGAGGAGACAAACAAACAGAAGAGGTACTCCATAGGGAGTTCAGTCAGTTTGGAAATTGCCTTGACTTTGTAACTTGTCCTTTCAGAGAAAGGCTGCTATATCCTTGTGTTTTTTGTTTTGTTTTGTTTTTTCTTAGCTTTGGGAAAATTTAGAATTCATGTTGCTTAATTGAGTCCCTCTGACTGCCATTTATCTCTAATGTGTAGATTTCTTTTTAAACACGGAGAGCAGTTATGTTTTTATGTGGAAACTATTTTTGTTTCATGAGGTATGCCATGCTACAGGACAGTGTCATCTGGGGACTATGCAATAGATTCTCTCTTCTTGCCTGGACGGGCCATTTTCTTTTTACTCGTGCTTCCGAGGTCCTATAAACATCTTGTATTGGTTAAGTAAGGCCAAGCTGTTGCCGTAGAGAATCCCAACAGTAAGTCAGTGGCTGAAACGGAGATAGAACTTTATTTCTCTCATGTAACAGTCTATGGAAAGCCTCTATTTTTTTTTTTAAAGATTTTATTTATTTATTTGAGAGAGAGAGAGCGCGCGCACACACACATAAACGGAGTGGGGGAGGGGCAGAGGCAGAGGGAGTAGCTCAGCTGCTGAGCAACTCAGCTCCGCTGAGTGGGAGCCTGACATGGGGCTCAGTCCCAGGATCCTGACATCAGGGCTTGAGCCAAAATCAGATTCTTAACTGACTGAGCCATCCAGGCGCCCTATAAAGTCAGCATTTGCTCTGTTCCTGGGGTCATCAGGGCCCCAGGTTCCTTCTCTCCGGATCTCCACTGTGCCTCAGGACATTGTCTTCCTGTGAAAGTTCCAGCTCAGGTCACCGTTCTACCTGGAGGGGCAGCAGAGATGAGCGTGGGAGCGGCATGTTTCCCCACAGCTTAGGACTCAGGACTCTTCGTTTCTGCTCACATTCCACTGGTGACCACTTAGTCACATGTCCCTGTCCAGCCACCGGGAGCGCTGGGAAGTGTCATCTAGCCAAGCGCTTCACAATCAGGGGGCACGGAATCTCTGCCACGCCTGCACTGTCCCAGCGGCACATGTAGAAAGTCACAAATGCACGCTAACCAAGGCTGCTGCTGGTGTTGGGTAATGACTTTGATCACCCTGTTTACTCCCAACATTAAAAGCATATCAGGTACAAGAAGTGGTGAAGGGCTCTTTATTATTGCTTCCTAATAAACCCCCTAGGGTTTGCTTGTTTGATCATTTGGGTACTACCGGTCTTGTCACTTAAAGATATTCTGTTACAGAAGCAGTCGTTCAGTCAAAGGTAATACATACGTTTCAATTTTAAATTGCCCCTTTCTCATAGAACTTTTGTTTACAGATAATCACAGAAATGTGTCTAGGAGGCTTGCAGGCTTATATTAAACCCCTGAATTGGTTACCAGATAAACTGGTAGGGACCGCCATTCTTCAGTGTGCTCTTTGAATTACAGATTGCTTTCTCCGAGTAATAAGAAACTAAAATTGCAGTGTTATTTCTAGCAGGAATCAGTTTCTTTTAAAGACTGTTCATGTTCTTGACTTCCATTGTGACCACACAAATTGCTGGACCAGCCAGTGGTCATGGCACCTAGTGCCATTATAGGAATTGTTATAAAATCGTTTCCGTTGATGGGTTAAAAAAACTGAATGATTCCTAGAATCCATCAAGTAGCCAGTAAAAATGCAGGTTAAAACCTTGGATATGATTGTATCTTTAAAAGGAACATCAATTTCTTCCCAGAAAATGTGAACATTTTTTAAATGTTGGAGTCAAAATGATATGAACAAATTTTCTGTTGGCAAACTTAGGAAACATAGATGAAGAACTTTTGCTGTTTTTCCGAATACCTAGACTATCTTGGTTGGGATTTTTATTTCTGACCACAATTTGTTAGAAAAACTTCTCAGAACTGTCTATAATCCTAATACTATACCAACTGCGCCTTGGTTTAACAGTATCAATCTTATTTTAAAGCACTCAGTGCCAGTAAAAGATCATAATAATCAATTTCTAGCAAATATGTCCTGTAAGGACCAACCAATGGGCAATTTTGGGCTAGATATGGTAGCTGCTTTCCGTGATATCAGTCTCAAAGATGAAAATGTATCCTGGATGTCTTGACCTCCTCTTAATTGCCTAAGAAGAGGCTATGACTTCCTGATACAGATTAGACCAATTTAATTTTTTTCCTAATTTTGTCACTGGGGTTTTATATATGTGCATCTCCCCCTTAGAGTCAAATATTTGCCAGGAACCTTCCATTTTTCTGTTTGTGAATAACTTCTTGCCTTAGTAATTCTGTCTTGATGAATTTTGTGACAGCTTTATAGAGCAAAAAGAATCTACATTAGGAAGATGAAAAATTGTGTTCTTCCTCCCATTCCTTTCCCCCAACCACAAATCATAGAAGAAACTTTTGTGGTATTTCAGTGGGAGATCTCCTGTTTTTCCAATTTGTAATGGGACTCTAAATTTTTTCACCTATAAAGATGGTTTATTTACTATATTACTTTGTAAGGTAGCCTACAGCTAAATGCTGCTCTTACTGATTTGAGCATTAGTTCTGTTTTCTTTAATTTGCCTGTGTCGTACTATGAACGAAAATGATTTCTCTGGTAACAGGGTCTCTCTTTGAATAAGTCACATGAACAATTTTAGGAAACTAGCCGTTTTCTAACAGTGTGCAAATTCTATTCCCTGAGAGGCTATGAAAAGATTTCAATTAGATTTGAAATGAGACCCCTCCAATCCACATACTTCTCTCAGCTCTGTAGGCAAAAATAACACGTTAATAACTTAATTCACAGTTGTTTTCTTTTTAGTAGCAGGGGATTTGGTTTTCCATTGCACAAATTCTTCTCTTTGAAATAAATCAGAATTTCAGTTTGTAATCCCAAAGCCTTGGAGTCGTATAGCTTAGAACCCTGGAATGAACCCAACCCGAAGGAAGAGAATTCCCAGCATGTGCCGCTGTAGCCAAGAGCTGAAATACATAAATAGAATTGCAACTTTACTGTATTTTAAAAGCTGCCATTTTGAAGATCATAGTGATGTCTTCTGAATTGCAGTGTACATCTACTTTGGATTACATATGTGGCCCTTGTCTTGGAGGACCCTGAATTCACTGATGTGTGTCTTCATGAGCTCACTTAATTAAAAAGCAAAAATAGGAGGAATTAGTGCCAAGTTCAGTGCTATATGCATATGGTGGACATGCAATAAATATTGAATGAACAAATAAATAAATGAAAAACCTCATTACCCACTGAGAGTGTTTTTCTGATATGATAACACGGTCAGGGTCTTTCTCTCTTTTCCTCTCTATTGGTTCATTCTCCTCAACATGTAAGCATGTTCAAGTCTCTCCCATCCTTAATGAAATGGAGTAAAACAAAAGGAAAGGAAAAACAGCCCTCTCTTTACCTCAGGCCCTGGATGTATTCAGAATAAGGATACCAGTTACTCTGTAACTAACTGTCAGATCCCAGTGGACACTTTCCAGTTTTTTTGTTTGTTTGTTTGTTTGTTTGTTTTGAGAGAGAGAGAGAGAGAGTGAGGGAGGGACAGAGGGAGAGGGAGAGAGAGAATCTTGAGCAGGCGCAGCGCTCAGCGCGGAATCCTATATGGGGCTCGATCTCACGACCCTGAGATTACAACCTGAGCTGAAATCGGACGCTTCACTGACGGAGCCACCCAGGCGCCCCTCCAGTCTTTATTTTAATGGATCACTCTACTCTGCCCGACCCTCATGGCCCACTGGTTCTCATTTTACTGCTCTGCTCAGATTCTTTGTGCATTTCTCTGTTCTTTCCCTGCCTCCTTTGGGGTTTTCCCTCCATCCAGTCCTTAGGAGTTGGTGTTGCTCAAGATTCCAGCTAAACCTCTTCCCACTTACATACTTGGATCCACTTTCATCTCTAGGTTACTACCTTTTCTGCTTGTGTTCAAATCCATATCTCTAGCTTCAGATCTTTCTCGGAGCTTCAGGTTCCTGTTTTCAATTGCCTGTTGTTATCTGTATCTGGATTCCTTTGGGTACCTTCAAATCAACATGTTCAAAACTGAGCTTGTCTTTCTTTACCTGCTTGCCTTCACACATTCTTGCCTTTCCATATCCAAATCAGTCATCAAGTGCTGCCGATTTTACTTTATGATATTTTCACATCTCTGCTTTCAGCTCCCTGTTCTCATTATCTCTTGCCTGGACTGCTCCAGCAGGCTCCTAACTAGTCTCCCTGACTCCAAATCTACTCTCTTTTTACTCTTCAAGTAACTGATGTAGATGTAATCTCCAAGAGGTAGGGCATCTTTCTGTTTTGTACAAAGCTACCTGTCCAGCACCTGCCTCATTGTAGGTGCTCAGTTAAAATTTGAATGAATGAAGGAATTTACCTGAAATGCATAGATGACCAAGTATCTACCTTCCGTTCAAAAAATCCTTCAGTCACCTCATCATCTCTAGGATAAACGGCATATAAGACCATCGTGATCTGGCACCATCTTTCTCTCTTGCTTCTCTCTACCTTAACACTTAACTACTTGCAAATCCTCACACGTGAAACTTCGCATTTTATTTCCTTGGCCTGCTCACTAGAACTCCCCTTATCTGCAAAGTTCTTCTTCCCTCAACTTTGTTAACTAATATCCTTTAAGATTCTGCTTAGAGGGGCGCCTGGGTGGCTCAGTTGGTTAAGCGACTGCCTTCAGCTCAGGTCAGGATCCTGGAGTCCCAGGATTGAGTCCCACATCAGGCTCCCTGCTCAGCAGGGAGTCTGCTTCTCCCTCTGCCCCTCCCCACTCTCATGCTCTCTCTCTCAAATAAATAAATAATCTTTAAAAAAAAAAAAGATTATGCTTAGATACCACCTATCCCAGGAAGCCCTCTCTGATTCCTTCCCAGTACTTTACAGTCTGAGTGGGGTTAGGTGTCTCTTCTCTGTTCCCATCACCCCTTAAGTATAATGTTTATACTTACTCTATTTTACTGTACTAACTTGTTTATATGTCTATCGCCTTTCTCTATGATGTCAGACAAGTCTTCATCTTTGTCTCCTCAGCACCTAGCACAACGCCTAGAATTTAATAGGAACATAGTGTTCGTGGAAAGAATGAAAAGTAACTGAATGACTGCAGGAGGCTGCCTCTCTGACATTTGGAATCAGGGATGTACTGGCCACATTACAGGGATAACCCCACATGGTTTAAAATGTCTTGAGTAACATCACATTTTGGCATTGCAAATATGAAATTACTGCTATTCTTGGTTTCTTGCTTTTATAGTTCAGCATTGAACTGATTGCCTAGGGAGTTAATCTAACAATAGCTGCCATTAGTAATTCCATTTCCAAGTGAAGAAATTTATATTTTTAGGTATATTTTTTATAACTCTAAGTGTATTATAAATGAGTAACTCTTGTGTTGGCATCAAATTTATTGACCAGCTAGGGGCGCCTGGGTGGCTCAGTCAGTAAGCGTCTGCCTTCGGCTCAGGTCATGATCCCAGGGTCCTGGGATCGAGCCCCACATTGGGCTCCCTGCTCAACAGGAAGCCTGCTTCCCCCTCTCCCACTCCCCTTGCTTGTGTTCCCTCTCTCACTATCTCTCTCCCTGTCAAATAAATAAATAAAATCTTTAAAAAAAATTTATTGACCAGCTAAAAACTTTATTCCTTGCTCTTGTTTCGGTTAACGCCAAATGACCGATGAAGGGAATCATACTCCATAACCGAGAAAAATTTAAGTGTATTAAAAAAAAAAAATAAAGGAAAATAAGATTTTTCCACTTAACGATAAACTTCTACAACTTTAGTACCATAATTTGGATATTACGGCTACAAGGTAGGTATGTTGGGACCTCGGACAAGGGAGAGGGATGAGGACGTGATGGGTTGGGCCATATGTAGAGCTAAGTTGGCCATGGGAGTGAGCCCGTATCAGAGAGTCTAGAAGTCCAACACGCAGCTGTACTCTTGTCGGTTGCTAATACAAGGCGGGTCACGAGTGGGTGCTGAGTGGGGAGGCAAGTAGGATTTTCTGGAGAGTGGCAATGCTTAGCTGAGGGTAAGGTAAGCTTCGGCACACCCCCTCTGTGCTTTTACAGTCCCTTTTTGCATTTCTCTATTGGAGAGCGTGGCCCACGATGTGGAAGTTGTTCATTTACTCTGTGTTCTCCCTGAAGTGAGGAAGCCTGGTGGACACAGGTTTGCAGTTTTCGTCCCTGTGCTCCCCGTATCTAATACATGTTGACCACTCGGTACATGTTTATGGGGTGAGCAGGTAAAGGGGAAGGAGGTGGGAATGTGAGGGTTGTTTGTGTCATGTAGAGGGAATGTGAGGACGATGGTCTGGGACCACTGGGCTCTTAGCACAGCAAAGGGATTTATCTCGTTGGAAACTGCATTCCAGCCTCAAAAGGAGGTGTGTGAAAGCAAAGGGCCTGCATCTCATGAGTGGCTGGTAAGGTGTAGGTAAGGTTTGAGAGGCCTTCGGATGGGGGTGGGGGTTCAAATTCCTAGTGCAGTGGGCCCACGTGGGTACTTGTAGCCTGAAACTTGGCCGACAAGTGGATACCAGGCCTGGAACCAGGCATAAGAGGGCAGTAAGAATCCCATCAGACCCCGGACGCACTGGTAGAGAGGGGACTCCTTCTGGTCCTCTCCCAGGATCTGTTGGAATCAGCCCAGGATGGGGTGTGGCCAGGCCTGCCAGCCACAGTGCTTCCTACTGAGTAGAGATGGAGATGGCAAGGATGCTTATGTTCAGGAAATGAACATATTATGTTATTGTTTATGTTTCCTCATCTGAGCTGTTCTTGACAATATTACCACTCTGTCACTTGCACTGTGGTAATAAATTTAATCTTAGAAAGTGACCAAAATGGACAGATCGGTTACTCTGCAGATTGGCTTCCTGTGTACAGCCGCTCTTTTAAAGACAGTCATGGTGTTACATGGAGCCTTGGATATGTTTTTTATGATAAGCTATGGGAATTACTTAGCTTATTTAAAAAAGGTCTTTTCTCCCCAAGAGCTATCTATGACTTGGCTTAGGGAAAAGCTCAAGGTTGATTTTTGCTGGTGTTTTTGTTGAGAAGGTAAAGCTTTATCTGAAGCCGATTGCCCTGGATTCCAATCTTGCTTCTCTCCCTTACTCATTGCACAGCCTCAGGCCAGTCACTTAACCTTTCAGAGTTCCAGAAGAGGGGTTGTTTGAAGATGACTGCTGATGCCCACACCGTTCCTTGTACTGGGGCTGACAGGAGGTGGGCGCTCACTCAATGGCAGCTCCCCGCATTGCTTTGTTAGGAAAGCACGCAGACAGTTTCAAATAAAGAGGAAATGAACTAGTCTCTGACGTCTGTTCTCCTGCTGGTTTTACTTAGAAAGGATGGCAGATGGCTGCATGTTGGCTATTAGCACTGCACACCTAACTGCAAGATGCAACTTGCCAAACAGATAGGAGATACCTACTTTTCATGTTTCCCCCCCACCTTTAATAACAGCACATAGTTTCTCAGCTACATGGTCTATTTTTAAGAACATTGCAAAATCCACTCAATGAGATAATCTTGAATGCAAGAATGTTTAAAGCTGATTATAGCTTCAGGGCATTTTTTTTTCATTCTTCCATAAACCATAGTTTTCAATTATTTTAGCATCACCACACATATCATATAGCTTCATAGAGGTGCCGGATAATTTCATTGTATCACATACCATTTGCTTTCGGAGAGGCTCTTTCAGGGGTGAACACAATGTGATTTAAGGTGTTCTCTTTTTGTTTATTGGAAAATAGCTACCTTCCTTTAGGAAGTCTTTAAAACTCACAGATTATGAATAAATAGGTACAGAATTATTGGGTCACTTTGCAGCTACTCTGACTTGTAATATTTTTAAAATTCTTGGGAGGAGAAAGAGATCCTGGACTTTTTGAGGTGATGTTGTGTGTTTTACTTCCCACTGTTACTGGGTGGGGAGCTATAGGTATTATCTGAAGAAGTAAGTGCATTAAGTGTAGAGTATTTTTATCTTTGAAAATTGTTATAGTGATACAGGTCTTTTTTAGTAAATGGTGAAGGTGTATTGAAGGTTGATCAAATATCAAGGTATGTTTTCTCACATTTTAATGTAACTCTCAGTTTCTCCATATGCCTTGAGCCCTAACACTACAAGTGGTAAAAATGTAATGAATGTGTGCAAGAGATACTCTCTGATTCTTGCTGTGGGCGGAATTAGTTAATGATATTCATTCAGATGCAGGATGGTACAAATGGGGCATATTAAGAGACTTAAATTAGGTCAGATTGAATAATTGAATTTATTCCTTTACTTAAAAACAGCTTAATCAGCAGAGAGTGCTGAAATCTAAAAAAAAGTTGAATTAAATATTAATAGGGAGTTTATGTTTTCAACTTTTTCTTCATTTACGATGATCGTAGGATTTTTCTCCTTCTACCTTTTACAGACACTCGGAGATGAAGTTCAGCCCTTCTCACTTGATGAAGAATTCGATTATGATGTTGTGACGCTAACCCCCAAGTTCACTCCTGCAGAGATGGATGCGATTACAGAGCTATCCAAGCAAAAGAGAGAGATCACCAACACAGACTTAGAGGAACCCCACGGTTGATTCACCGAGACATCTTGGTGTTAATGTTTATTTTGTTGTTATGCAAGCAACATTAGAATAAAAGGTAAAACTACTATAATTCCCTTTGTCGAAATTTACTTGTGCATTACTTGATCAGAGTTATTTGTCAAGAGGGAGATGTAACTAACAAGACCAAAGAGATCTGTACACTTAGAGGATTCTCCGCCGTCATGTGTTGCGGAATCCCACGGGAGGCGAGGGGAGATGGAGGTGGCAAATGGGGACAGGAAGCAACAGCTACAGAAGGTCCATTTAAAAAAAAATTTTTTTTTTTTTTTTAAGTCTGAGTATAGTTGACACAAAATGTTACATTAGTTTCAGGTGTACAACATAGTGATTTGACAAGTTTATACCTTATGCTACGCTCACCACAAGTGTAGCTGCCATCTATACTCCCTAGGCGGTGCCTTTATTCCCCTGACTGGAAGCCTGTTATCTCCCACTCTCCTTCACCTATTTTGCGCGTCCCCTCAACCCCCTCCCCTCCGGCGCCCCACTTTAGTTTCAGCTATCCCGCCAGGGCCCCCTCTGCTCGGAGAGCTCAGGGACCTCCCGGCCCGCACACTGCCTCAGCTCCAGCCCGCCTGCCAGGGCACCCCCTGTGCAGAATGCCCTGGGACACCCTGGCTTGTGCCTGTTTCAGCTTCAGCCATCCTACCAGGGTGCCCATGGGGCACAGAACAGAAGGGTCCATTTTGGTGACAGCACAGCAACTAGGCAACGTGGGGTATTGCAACAAAGACTGGAAACATCATCCCACCTACTAGGGGGTAAAACACTGCAGCACTTAGAGATGAACTGACGGTGCGGGGTGGTCACTGGTCCCAGCTACCCAGAGACCGGGGTGTGCATGTGCGTGCTGAGAGGTTGGGCTTCTAGAATTGGTTGGGGAGAGGCTCCGCTGAAAAAGAAGGCGTCTGAGAATTGATTATATGTCGTATATTAAATTCTTATACTTTGTGTATTGCCATTAAGCCATGATAGTTACAAAGTACAAGGAATGGCGTCTGTCTCCAGCAGCTTAAAATATAATTTAAGAAGGCAAGGCAGGTAGAGAAGGTAACTGGAGAATGTGGAAGCATATTATAAAGTGCTCATTGTGAAGAATACCCATAAATGTGTTAACAGAAGGAGAAAAGAACAGTGAAGGCACTGAAAAAGGGGGAATAGTAGGTATGAAGTAATTTTCATTATTAAAGGAATCGGTAACCAGTCAAATGTGCATAGGCTTAATGAGTTTTCTTGCAGGCCTGTGCTTGTGTGTACCACTTATATTCCTTACAAAGGACATTCTTGATTTAATGTCACAGAGTCAGGTGATTTCCACATCTCTTTTTCTGTATCTAGTCAACAAACTTTCATAAAACACTATTTTCGTGCCAGACCTTAAACTAGGCAATGGGGAAGAGGTAGTAAATTAGACATGGTCTGATTTAGTTCGGAAGACAGATACATACACTAATTTCAGCAGGGCCATGCTGTCCGAAGTAACAGCCACTAGCTGTGATGGCTGTTGAGTACTTGACATGTAGGTAGTATGACTGAGGGACTGATTTTTAAATGTTAATTTTACTTTGATGTGAAATAAAAAGGTAATGTAATGTACAGCATGGGACATATAGTCAAAAACATTCTATTATCTTTGTAAGGTGACAAGTGGTAGGTGATTAGACTTATTGTGATAACCGTTCTGCAGTGTGTAGGAATGTCAAATCCCTGTTTTATAGACCTGAAATTAATACACTGTTTGCCAATGACAAAGAAAGAAAGGGCCCAAGTCTTTTTTTAGAAAGTTGATATTTGATACAGTTACTATAAAACTTTCAAGTATACATTTGGAACAATGTGGGTCTGGGAATCTGTTTTTTTCATCTATAAATTTTATGACAGGTAAATACAGATCATTTATTTTTGATGACAACTTTAGTACCTAATTTAAAATATGCTATAAATGTGAAATACACATTGGATTTTGAAGAATTAATATGAAAAATCGTAGACTATCTTATATTTTTTGTGTGGATGACATGTTGAAATGATATGGATCAATGATTATGGATATATGTGGTTAAATAAAATATATTATTAACATTTACTGATTTCTCTTTGCCTTTTTAGTGAGGCTCCTAGAACATTGAAAATTCCACACATGTCGTGCATATTTGTATTTGCCAGCCCCGCCGTAGGGGGCAGCCTGTGTTGGAAGAGTGGTGTGCACCGAAAGCTACTGGGGCAAAGTGTGTGGAGTTATTTAATCACAAACGGAGAGCTGGGGAATCTTCATCGAGGGGGTGATATTTGAGCCGGCTCAGGAGCAATCAGTAGGAGTTTTTGGTTGGACGCTGTTGGAATAGTTTGTGTGGGAGATGATAAGAGCTCGAATTAAAGCAGCGGAGGTGGAGGTGGAGGGCATGGATCTGATTAGAGATTTGGAAGTAGAACAAGCAAGGATTATTGATTGATACGATGTGGGAATGAGAGAGCATCTGTGAGGTTAAGACAAGATTTTAGCACACGATCTATATACACACTGCCTTGAGGACAACACATTGTGATCTAATTGTTCACAAGACCAGGGACTCTCTTCTCTCAGCATATATGCAACATTTTGGTATTGTGAATAAAGAAAAGACTTCGCCATTTTTAAGACATCTCAATTTTATGGACTTAAATAGTTCTTTAATAGAAAAAAACACACAACTATCTTTCTAAGTGTTTAAAAAGAATTACATTTTAGTGGAGTGTTTTATGAACCAGCCAGGCTAAATGGCCGGCGGAGGACGTTACTGCAGAGCATTCTGTCTGTTTAGCTTCTGCACTAGATTTTGGCTTTATTCCTTTTGGCATTTTGATTCCTGCATTATTTGGGGCAACTGCATTACAGCAAAAGTGACACTGGAAAATGGGCTCCTTAAAGCCTTTGAGTGAACTAGTTGTGTCTCAGTTGTACCGTTAGTCTTCCCCTAACTAGCTATGGATCCATGGACTTTCAGCTCCATGGATCCCTTGAATCGATGTCAATGGTTTGTCTTACACTGGCTGGCAAACCCTAACCAAGAGCCTTTAGAGGAAGCCTGCACTTACATTGATGGAGAATGCTTACCTGGATTAGGTAGTCGCATCAGAGGTAAGATTAATAAGAGCAAAGGATAAGGAGAAACACCTGCCGGAATGGGAGGGAAGGTGAACATTTTAAAAGTGTCTTGCAATCATGCAGCAGTGGCAACACAAACTAGCTTGAACAGAGACAGTTTCCCCTCACGCCTGCAGCACCCGTCCGGGCTCTTCAGTGTGGTGGCCGGCTGAGCAATCTTCCTCTTTCAGGATCCGTCTGATGTGGAGTGGCACAAGGAGAAAAAAATAGATCTGATCTTGAATTTCCTTGATTCCTTCATCAAGAATTCTCTTTTCTTTTGCCATGAACGTGATAGAACTGTATCCTCATTTAGAAAAAGAAATTTTCCGTATGTGTTCAGTGACTGTAAGGTTGAATTAACACAGAAAAAGATAGTTGAAAAAAATTTCATTTCTTTTGTTTGTTTCTTGGCAGTTGATGGTGAGTGAATACAGGAGCATTTTATTAAGTCTTATTATTAAGTCTTATTAAGAATTTTCTAGAAAAACATTTCTCCATAGGTGAAGGGGAATCCATAGTCCTGACCAAGGCCTACCCAGCCCTTGCATAATATGGCCCGTGCTTACCTCTCCGATCCCATCTTGAGCTATCTTCCTCATTTTTTGTTATGTTATGACCAGTTGCTATTCTTTTTTCTTTTTCAAACACACCACCTTGTTTCCACCTCCAGGCTTTGTACTCTTGTTCTTCTTTCTGCCTGGTCTCCCCTGGCCTTTGTATGGTTGGATCCTCTCATTATTCAAGTCTCAGGTGAAATGAATCTCCCCAGAGTCTCTCTCTGACCACCCAACCTAAAGTAATTCCTGTCTCACAGCTGCCACCCTGTCACTGTGTATCCCCTCACCTTGCCTTGTTTATTATCAGATGCTCCCAGGAGGACATAAGCTGTAAGAGGGTATGGACTTACTCTTCTTATTGATGAAAAGGGCCTGGAGTAAAGTAGGTGTTCAATAAACATTTATTGAGTGAATCAAGCCTGAAAAGATAAGCTTATTAGTTTGAATAACCTGGAGGTCTATTTCATCAAATCAGTTCGGTTAGACCTATGTTGAGCAATTTTTATATATACCTTATCAACTTATATAGGGGAATATACAAGTTCTTACTTCCTAGACTCATGGTAATCTGACAGTCAATGCAAATTTGGGATGCCTAGCTTGACTGAACAGAACTGTTCCATGTTCCACATCCCTTCTTTTTTCCTCACCATAACCCCGTGGAGAGTTGAGAGAATCCTGGTTCACACGGGAACTTCACCTACTTCTCAGCTGCTCTTTGGAAATTTTGTTATGATTCCTTCCATGAAAAATCCCATTCAGGAGCAATTCGTGTGATACTGATATTGCCAACGATCTGCATTCAGAAGTGTGGACTGATGACTAAAGCCAAACTGGGAAGGGAAAGGAAAACAAGCTTGGAAGAGAGAGGTAGGAAGAGGAAAAGTACCATTTTTATATTTGTAAAGCAGAATCCTTTATCCACTCATTCAAAAATGTTGATACTCCTGAGAGTCATCAAACTTCAGAGGTGTCTTAAAGTCCAATTCCCCTGTTTTCTTTATATTTTCATTTATTCTGAGAGCAGTGCAATCCACAGAAGTGTTTAAACAGAGGAAGGACATGGTCTGTCTTAGGTTTGAGGGGAGATGGGTGGAAAGGGGGCTGGGCTGTATTGTCCTGGGGAGGAGTGGCCCTGGAGGGAGGGGGGATGCAGGGCCGGGCTCTGAAGGGCCTCTTCATGGTTTTCTCTCTGGAAGTGTATGCAACCTTGTTATCCCCAGTTTTCTGAAAATGTAGGATGATGTTTATTGACATAGGTCTCTTTTCGTCCTTTGATCCTGGGCACTCAGTAGCCTTTTAGTTTAGAAAACAATGTCCGTAGTTCTGAGAAATTGTCTTGCATGATTTTTTGATTAT